CTATTCTTTCCCCATCAACGCTCTTGAAACTTTACACGAGCTGCACATTTGATATCCACCTCGATGTCCAAACTTTGGTCAACCAACGCTTATCTAAGAAGATATTTAGAAAATCTCCATTCTAAGAACTTTCTTGACCAAAGTCATGCTATTTTCCAAAGGATTTATCTCCTTTGGCTATCTCTGCATATTAAATCTGCAGTAAAATGACAAAATGACAGCTTTCTAATTTTTCTTCACGAATTCGCATGAGGAACCACTCTTTTTATCTCTTGACGTCATATAAGTTACTCTACTCCCATAAGAAATGCACATGTGTCAAGAGTGAGGTAGAGACGATTGACCTGCCTGACGATGGGAAGTTCCTCTTAAAGGGAAACCAGCGTTGGTGGTCGTTGTGCCTTTTTTGCACCGATAGAACCGTTACCAAAATAATAACGAGCCAACAACCCATGCTTTCCCGTCGCTATTTTAGCAAAACCAAGCCTTTTTTTCTTCCAAGTTCCTTATAGTAACCACTATTTATGGAAGATGTCAGTCTTTGACTCCTTTTGAATATTAAAAGTGCTCTACCATGTCCCACCAATTTTTTGACCGAGGAGCCTTCCAGCATCCAGTAGGCAGAGGTGGGAACGGTCAAAACTACTGACCAATTGGGGGATGAGATGATTGGCGACCAGCTTCACATTATATTAAACAAGGTATTTTTAGTGATTTTAGCTTTGCAAGAAATTGCTACCATAGTGCAAACAAATTTGTATGCTTCCTGGAATACTAAAAGTTTATTGCTAGCAGAAATACAGTGGGCTTGCTTGATTTTTCAACTACTTTCCTAGTTAGGGAGAATCGAGATCAACATAATGCAATGTAAAAGTAGCCATTTTGGAAGTATCTTTCACCTATCAGTTCTCTTAGCAAATGGTTTATTACTCACAACTCCTATTCTTTTCCCGTGCAATCGCCCGAAAAGATATGAAGGTGTAGTAATATGCCCTTCTTATGTCTTGCAGTTGAATACCAAATAATGTTTTGTTTTCTCATCATCATAGACATGTGGTGATTGTGACTCTCTTCAGTAGCTTCTCACGCCATCAGCTCTTCAATCGTGGATTACCCGGATTGTACTGCCGCCCTCATGAGGATACAGAACATCCTGAGAGAAAATTTGAGCCCTTCGAGTTTGGTAACGAGATAGCTGAGTCGATTAAAGAGGTTTCTTTCAACATTTCGATTTCTTTTTTAACTTGAGAATTATACTAGCCATCGAACAACTGACTCTATATCCTTTTAAGATGGTGCTTACTAGTGATGACGGTACACTAACTGGACGAATTCAATTCGATCCCCATACCGGTTGGAGGACCAATTACTCTGCGACAGTCATAGAGATAAAGCCTGGTGTGAATAGT